AAGTTCAACTTAAGAACTCCGATTGGCAAAAGAACCAAATCGAACGAAGCAACGAAAGACAAACGGCAAAGAAACAAGCTTCGTTTACTACTCTGGATCTAGGGCAAATTTTACAGAGGCAAAAACTTGTTTGAGTTAGTTAAACAGAAAGAGGGTTTCGAGACAAAACTCCAGGCGCTTGAATCGCCTGATTCCGATAAACGAGCGAAAAGTTATACTAGAACGAAAATCGGATCAGGAATCACGATCAGAAAAAATCGCGGATTTAATCCGAGAAAAAAAACGATGAACAGATTAACAAACGAACGTTCATTATCTGAATCTAAATGATGAACACGTGCGTTAAAACGAACGAACGAGCGAACGCTCGCTAAATAAATAAACCGGAAAAACCGATCTATCAAAAAACAAAATCTAAAAAAACCGAAAAAAACGGACGGAAAACCGAACGGTTTTCTCGAGGAAAACCGCTGGCGGCGGGGCAGCGGTCAACCTCCGGCGGGCGGCGAGATCGGCGGGCGGCGGCTCCGGGCGGCGGGGCGGTGCAGCGGCAGGGCGGCGGCGCGACGCACGAGGCGAGGCGGCGACGGCGACGTCAGGGGCGGCGGGGTCGGGCGCTAGGGTTTGGGGCGGCTCGGGCTGGGCTCCCCGGCTTATAAAGGCCGACCGGGCCAGGTGTTCGGGTCGGACACGGCCCGGTAGGTCGGTTCGACTTTTTTAAAAAATAATTACGCTCAGAAAAAAACAAAAGAAATACTAAACAGACTCCAAAAATCCCGAAATAAATTTTCCCTGGCTTCTAAAATCGAGCCGCACAGGATGAACATTTATTTGGGGCCTAAATGCAATTTTGAAAAACGTGCATTTTTCTATATTCAAATAAGATAGCAAATAAAACCAAAACAAAATCTTATTTGATTTTTTATTAAATCATAAATATTTCTTTATTTTGGGAAAGTCATTTTATTCCCTCTCTCATATTTTTGTAATAGAAATAATTGAAGATATAATAAAAAAATTAAATGATCCTATTTTCAAAATTTGAGAAAACTCAAATATGAAAATAATGAAATCCCCAACTCTCTCCGAGGGTCCTTGAGTTGCGTGAAATTCTAGGATCAACCAAAATGCAAATAAATATGATATGCAATGATGATCTATTGTATAACATTCCAAATTGAAAATTTGGGATGTTACAACAAGGTATCATTGCAGGGAGTTCTATGCCCTCGAAGCAACACAAGAACTAGACACATAGTATGAAGAACCATCACCTGCAGGTGTATTTCTCACGCACGCACATAGGAAGAACCATCAGATGCAGGTAAATATAGCAAGCACGTACACATGAAAAGCAAGCATGCCACACGCACATCGATCTCGAGGAGAAGAGAAGGCCCGCCCTTGGAGAGCTTCGTCATCCTGTATGGAGCAGCCGACCCCATTTAACCTCGTCGTGGATCTGGTCATGGACATGGCGGCTCGACGTGGATTTCGTCATTGCCTTGGCCTCCCGTCTCACCTTCCTCCCCATCTCTCCACGCCGGAACCGGCGCGTCTGGCCCAGATCGGGCAAGCCCACGCCAACCCACATCAGCAGGAGATCGTCACTGGGGTGTTAGCTCGTGGTGTTGCTGCCCCAAATTGGGGAGGTGGAGGAGGAGCAGCTGCTGCTCCAGTTCGGCGACAAGAGGTGGAGAGAAAGGAGTGTCCAGTGTGAGGGTGCTCCATGAAGGGAGGGTAGCTAGGGAAGGGAGGCCGGCGTGGTGGGAGAAGGCAGCGAGCGAGGATGGAGACGGGCCGGCGAAGCCTTGCCCGAAACCCTAGCCATGGGGGTGGGGTTGCGAACAGACGATAGAAGCCGGGAGCGAAGAATTTGGCCGGAGGGGAGGGAGGCGTGGAGCGTGGGGAGCTCGGGTACGTGCTGCACGGCGCCGGAGCTCGCCGAAAGCGGCCAGCGTGGGCGGCGGCGGCGGCGAGGACTTCCTGGGCGAGAGGGAGGCGAGCGCGAGACCGTGCGTGTGTGGTTGTGTTTTTTTTCTTTACAAATCTGCTCGGACCGCATGTTGAATACTCCAAACGCCAGGGTGTTTTGTGCAAAAACGAAATGTTTTCTCAAATATCCACTTAAGATAGGACCGTAGGTTGAATTCTCATAAACAGAGGGACTTTTCTGCAAAATTATTGACGACGTATGACCAGAAGCAATAGCTAGTTTATATATATATATATATATATATATATATATATATATATATAAGGTAAAGATGAACTATTATGAACTCATAGTACAACCAAACAAAAATCCATAGTGGTAGATAGATATTCATATCAACCAAAGAGTTCGATAATTTACCTGATCGATCGAACGGATATAGCAGCCGAGCTAGGTCGTCGTCATTCTATGGAAGCTACAGAATCCATGGAAACCTTCCATGATATATAGAACCAGTACAGTGGACCCATGCATGCCTTCCTCCATAAGTCTTGTTTTCTTTCCACCCGCAAAAAAAAAAGTCTTGTTTTCTTTCTATTTTGCGATGACTCGGTAAGTCTTGTTGACGACTCACACCCTCTGCAGTGAAAGCGAATGAATTATAGTTTAACCTAACGTACTGGCATATATATGAACAAATAATACATGGTGAATGCATGTGTGACCGAGCATACATATGTGAATGTGTGCTATCAATCAGAACGCGTACACCATGACATAGTGACCAACGGGGCCGGGATGTGTAGTATATATATAAGGGTCACCACATTTTCTTAAATGGAAATTTATTCTGGCCCGAAGCCCCAAGCTGATTAGCACGAAACTACCGGCCAAAGTTCGAACACAGACTGCAGCACCGTTGATGAAGTGCGTAGTTGCTCCTTTGTTCAGTGGTTTGGTGGTTCCACGCACGAAGCTTCACACGGAAACTTCGCGAAACGTAGTTACTTGGACTTTTTCTATCTTGAGGTAAATACGCCAGTGGTGTTTAAATTTGTCATGGATGTACATTTTAGTGCCTGAATTTATAAGATACATCGAATTGGTTCCATAACTTGGCATGGACGTGCATATATGGTTCAAACGGCGTTTGTATACGTCCGCGCAGCTGGAGGCGTGCCAACATGCCATGGGGCCCACTGTCGGTGACAAGGGCGTGGCCTGGTTTTTTGTAGAAAAAACTCTAGAATTTTTTTCTGACAATATATAAGGCCCTCAAGGAGAAATTGACAAATTATGAAATAAAAACTAGGAGTATAACTATAAGATAAAAACTAAAACTGATGTGCTGGACCCAACCAGTCGAGTGCATGTGTTCACATTTGCTGATATTTAATGATTCATAACCAAATCAATGGCCGCTAAAGAGCCATTCAAATCAATGGCACTATATTGTTGGAATATTTTTTTTAATTTATGTTCTTGAGCTTTATGTTTATAAACTATATGAATTCTTTCTTGACACTAAATTTGAATGGGTCGACCGGCTAGCCACGCACACCTACACGTGTGGTTCGAACACCAGTTGTAATTATCGAAAGATTAATAGTTTTTTTCTTCGATTGATCAGCTTCTCTTGAGGGCCTCTTTGTAAGGGAAAATTATTTTAGTTGGTTTTCCGCAAAAACCCAGGCCAGATGCCCTGTCCCTTACATCCTGGCGTGCCTCGTCAGCGTCATGCACGTGTAAAACGAGATTTGTATCGTATATGTACATCCATGCCCAGTTATGAAACCAGTTCAATGTATTTTGCAAGTTTAGGCATCAAAGTGCACATTCGTGACAAGTTCAAGCACTAGTGATACGTTGACCTCTTCTATTTTTATACGGGATAATAACTTGGTCCTCATGATTGTTAACGCAGATTACTAGTTTAGGCACGCATTGATGCACCGAGTCATTTTTTTTAGGACCAACGGAACTCATCAGGCAATTTTACAAAACACTCTTTGGTAGGGAAGAATTGTCTAACGTTCATATCAACTCGGTAGCGTGTGCTTGGGTGGGACGCGTGCTGATGATGATGGTAATATTGTGGCCTTTCATGACGGAAGAAATTGAATTGACTTGGAAAGACAAAGACTAATAGTACACCCAGGCCCAGATGGCTTTCTGATACAGTACAATCTCTATAGAGTTTGTGCAGATTAAAGCTTTTGTGAAAGAGATCATAGATCAATTGTTACACGGGCGGCCATCCTATCCATTTATTCAGGCGGCCCTCTTCCCGAGCGTCTTCTCCTCGCCGCCGTGGGCTTGTTGCCTGCGCGGCCGACGGTGGCGAAGGGGCCAATGAGTGACCCCTTCGATGAATTACCACATGAGATATGACCATAATATACAATCATAATTAAAACCGTACTAACTAACGGATGGCCGGTTACGATGTGCTAGCGGTAGCTTTCATGAGTACGTAATTTCCTCCTGGGACTAATCTCCCCGTACGTTCAGACAAGAAAAAGACGTGCAAGTCAGCAACGACTAAGCTTTTCAACGCAGCACCTGCAGCGATCTCGTCCCACTCCGTTGAAGCCTGAGACACGCAATTCCTGATTAACTAATGGATGTACATACGGAATGTAGGAGGCGACGACGGGGTCTGTGCACGATCCTAAAACACTGTTGCCCAAGACCTGAATAGTACTAACTAGACACCGGTCTAGCTGGCCGTCAAATATTAATTTTTCTTGCAAACTCTAATTAATTAGAAGAGGAGATTAAAGACACATATAGCGAGGGAATAGCTGCAAGATTACATATCTCAAATTCACAAGATATATTCTGCAAGATTACATATCACACATCTACACACTTACATATAATAACGTGTTGACATTATTCGACATGGAAGAAGAAATGAGAAATGGACTGTAGCGATCACAAATACACAATGCAGGCGGGGACTATATCGTACAAATAGTAGGATGTTACATATATCACCATGCAGCCCGTCACCAACAAGTTGTACGTACGTGCGTAGGATGAGCAAGGATGGAGCTGCTAGCTACTTTTTCAACTTGGCGACGCTGGAGAGCAGATCGACCCCTGCAGAAATCAACGGCAGCGGGTTTCCAGTGAGCACCGCGAGGACGATGCCCGCCAGGGCCTTAACGATGTCGCCTATGGTGCCCAGGTTCATCCCGGACTTCCCCGACCCGTACTTCCGCAACGCAGTCTCCTTGCTCGCCCTGCCATTACCGCCGACGTCAGAGTGAGACTCGGTACTGCTTGAGCTCGGCAGAAGAAAATCCTCTCTCGCGCAGGCGACATGCAGGTGCACTTTCTTGGAGTTGGAGTTGGAGCAGTAGAACCAGTAGTCCCTGACGCCGCCTCCTTCCCTGCACTTGGCGCAGCGGCGAGACCCCTTCTCGCGGAGCTCGAAGCTGAGCTCATCACTCAGCTTGATCTCCATAGGCAGCATCGCGCAGCACGGGTGGAGGTAATGGCCCGTCCGTGCGCAGTGGTAGTGGGTGCCCTGCGTGCGGGTGCCGCAGGCGCTGCATCGCTGCTTGGAAGGGGGGGCCTCGAGGCGGAGCACGAACTTGCTCTTGGGCAGCAGCTGGTGCTCCAGCGTGGTCCCTTCTTTGTAGTTGCAGGCCTGGTGGAGGTCGAAGTCACAAGGCTTGCACGTGTCCCTGTCGCACCCCGTGATCTCCTCGAGGCAGCCGTTGCACTTGAACTTGGCCTGGCCCGTCGGCTCCCGGGTCAGCTTGTGCCCCCGGTTGGAGTGCTCGCGGCGGGAGATCACCTTCGACGGAGGATGAGGCTGACCAACCGTGGCGAGAAGAGTCATGATTCTGCACCTTCTCTGGGAGATCTGTGGGTCAGCTCGATGATCAGTCTCTCATACGTAGACAAAGATTAGTTTCGTCCACGAGATTCCATTAATTATCAAGAACTCAAGATAGATAGGAGCAAACATATGAGATGTATTATTATCTAACGCAGAAAAGTTGAATATTACTAACTCATAAAATGATACGACCAAACAAAAATCAGCGGTGATGGATAGATCATTGTGAGACTCGTATATCAACCGAAGAGTTTGATAGTTAGTTTACCTGATACCGCGAGATCAGATAGAACAACTAGTAACTCGTCGGCAGTTTTGTATAAGGACGCTGCAGAATCAATGAAAGCCCAGGTGTTTATATAGAACCGCTAGAGGGGACCCATGTATTTTTTTATATTTTTGCGACGAATCCTTAAACCTCTTGTTGACCATCACCATCATGCAATGCAATGCAATGCAAGTAGTGAACTAGGATTTCAAGAAAAACCGAGATAATTAAGTGTTTTTTGTCAGATACTATGATGCTAGTCTTTCCGCGGGTAGGTAGTGAACTGCCCCCTAAGAAAAACATGTACACGGTATTGGCAGTGGTATGCAAATGCTTACCACCCTTCCCGAGTTGTGAGAAAACATGCACTACCGTAGACGACCGTAGGAAACTACCGGCGACCGTATAGTCCACGTACGACGTAGTACGTCAAGACTTTTGAGATCGATCCATGCACTACACTACACTGGTTGCTTGCTAGGTGGCCGCTCATCCTCTCCGAGGTTTTCTTATCCGCGTGTACATATGTACATAAAATTTAAAACGCGTGTCTTGTGCATATCCACCCGTCGACGACAACCAGTTTGAGTACGTAGTTACAAGTATATAATTCATGGTGATGGATGGATAGTTTCTCCTATTTAAGAAGGTTCAAGCCAACAAAAATACAAGAATACAAAAAGCAGGATTTCAACGGGAGAAATTAATTGAAATACCGCAAACAAAATGCATAGTGATGGATAGCTAATTAAGATATTCGTATCAACCAAAGAGTTTGATAGTTTACCTGATCGATCGATCGGATATAGCAGCTGGGCTAGTAACTCGTTGTCGGTTCTATGGAAGCATAAAATCCATGGAAACCTTTCATGATACTATCTCCGTCCGGAAATATTTGTCATGAAAATGAATAAAAGGGGATGTATTTTAGTCCTTAGACGTGGGTTCGATGAAGGCCGCAGAATCGTTTTTTATAATACTGCGTTGGCGGGGTTTTGAAGTCAAGACCTCTTGGCTCTGATACCATATTGAATTCACGCTCCAGCCAACTCATCCAAAAGTCTGAACTGATGGAGAGAGGTGGGCAATATATTTCAACGGTATCTAGATGTATATTAGTTCTAGATATATCCTTTTTCATCCATTTTGATGACAAGTATTTTCGGACGGAGGGAGTATATAGAACCTGCGGTACATGGGAACCATGTAAACGATCTGCCTTCCTCCTTAAGTCTTGTTTTCTTTTTCTTTTTTGCGATGACTCCATAAGTCTTGTTGACTGACACCCTATGCAATGCTGGCAAATTAATTATATAGTCTAATATATATATATATATATATATATATATATATATATATATATATATATATAGAGAGAGAGAGAGAGAGAGAGTAATACTACATTATGAAAGCAATTTGGAAGAAAAACATGAATATTTCTTATTTTGTTCTATATTACAATCATTATATCTACGGTTTGCTAAAGCACATCTAGGTGTGTTTTAAGTATTGTACATCTTGGTTCTATATTATTGTGATTTTACGTAAAGATTCGTGTGAATAATTTTAATTTATTTTAAATTTGATTGAATCATTTAGATGTGTGCAATAATTCGGACGCATCTAAATATGCTCTAGACAGACACATATATCCATGACTGAGAAGGCATACGTGAATGTGTGCTATCAATCAGAAAGCATACACCGCGAATCCGTGATATGGTGATCACGAGGACGTATTTTCAAATCTTGTCAATATATAAGGGTCACCACATTTTCTTAAATGGATATATATCTTAGCCCGAAGCCCCCAAGTTCATTACCACGAAACTACCAGCCAAAGTTCACACGACATCAGACTTTGGAAGGGCACACTGCACAGGTAGGTCGCCCCCGATGCACACGGAGGTTTTGCTTATCCGCGTTGATCTTGTGCGTACCACACGTCGAGGACTACCGAATTGCAGCACTGTTGGCTCGTCTCTTCAGTGGCTTGGCGATTACGCGTAGCTACCAAAACTTGACCAAACATCGCGGACGGTCCTAAATTTTCTTTTTGACGGACGGATGGTCCTAATTACTTGGTCTATTTTTGTTTGAGAAGGGAAATTACCTGGTCTTGCTCTACTGAAAACGATCCAGCGCTGTTAGCCCTGCCGCTTGCAATAATGCATGCAGGCGCTAAGTCGTGCAAGACTGACTGATCCATGCGGCGTGGCCCGCCCAAGTTATACGGCTTCGGACCGCGTTACTCGCGATCGTTACGGCGGTTTAGTAAAGTTATATACTCCCAGCGTTTAGTGATCTAAACGCTATTATATTTCTTTACAGAGAGAGTATAAGACATGTGATCATACATGTACCGAGTCATTTTCATTTTTAGTGCAAAAAAATGTCATTAAGTCTGTCCTATTCGTGACGGCTCTAGGTCCCTCCAGCGAACTGAGGTCTGGGTTCTGGCTAGTCCACACAAGATCCAATCCTTCCAGCTTTTTTTTCGTGAATACGCTCGAGGGCGTATCTTTCCATTGACAAGTAGAAGAGAATACAGGGTTGCAACCTCGATCAATGTACACTAGCAGGCGTCGACGAGGCTACATTGGAGCAGTGGAAGAAGGGGTTGCTCAGCCCCAAAACATCACGGTCAGGTTACAGGAATGATCGATGCTAATCCTACAGCTCCGGCTCGTCCCCAACGTTGGGCTTCGTCCTTGATGCTTGTGAGCAGCTGGGCATGGGATGGCTGCGCATTGTCGAAGATGATTGCGTTCCTTTGCTTCCAGATGGCCCAGGCTGTGATGATGGCGAGGGAAGCAAAACCCTTGCGAAGGAAGTTGGGGGCGGCAGCAACGGCATCGGACCACCAGGAGAAGAATGGCATCATTCCGTCAGGTGGCAGCACAGGTAGGCGACAACAGGAGAGAACCTCATGCCAAGTGATGCGAGAGAACGCACAGCCGACGAGGATGTGGTGCAGAGTTTCTTCCTCCTACGACCAGAGACCATAGACCGGGTTGTGCTGCATGCCCCTTCGGGCTAGACGATTTGCAGTCCAGCAGCGATTTTGCGACGCAAGCCAAAGGAAGAACTTAATGTTGAGAGGTGCCCAACTACGCCAGATTAGTTGCCAGAACTGGGCAGTCGTGGAGCTGAAGAAGAGCGCGCGGTAGCAAGATCGCACAGAGTACGAGCCGCTCGCAGTCCATCGCCAGGTGATTGTGTCCAGGGAGCTGGAGAGGGAGACCACTTGGATACGGCGACAGAGGCCGATGTACTCGACGGTGGCCTCTGGCCCAAGCGCGCCCTGGATACCAGATATCCAGGAGCGGCTCTTGATGGCCTCGCAGGCCAGGCTCGTGCGGCGATGTCACTTCGAGACGATGGCCACGATCGTAGGAGCGAACTCGACGATAGATTGCCCGTTTAGCCAGTGATCGGTCCAGAAACGGCAAGTCCTCCCGTTCCCCAGCTGCCAAAGGGTGGATGCACGAAATATCTGCTGAGCCTCGGGGTCATGCGGTAGATGGAGGTTCCGCCATGGCCGGGTATTATCCGTGGATCGAAGCCAAAGCCACCGCATGCGCATGATCATCCTTTCACATGCACACACCATTCTAATCCCAATCTCAATCTCAATCGTGCTCTCACCAGATCTGATGAATTGATCCCAGCAAGGTACTGCTTCTCATCGAGCCTGGTTCCTCTTCTCAACTATTGACAGAACTCTCACGAATCTCTCTTTCCCTTGCCCACTTTTTCATCCACTAGCAAAATCCTTTGCGTTCTAGCAAGGGGACGCCTTTGAGTTTCTTCTGGAATCCTAGTTGGGAGGAGTTTGGCAGCAGAGGATAGGTGGGTTAGGGCGTCGCAGGAGGCAGCGCCCAAAGGAGGCGGTGATTTGCATAGGCATCTCCCAAGGAAAGAGTCCAGCTTCAGGATGGAAGGAGTTGAGAGGAAACTAAAGACATTGCAGCTATTGGAATCTGAAAAAAGTGGGGTAAAGATGAGTAAAAGAAGCAGCAGTTCCTTATTTAACAAGAAGCCGCATGATGTTGGAAAACTAATGTCAAACAACCAACTATGGTGGATTCCCTTGTAGCACCCTAGGCTGGATTTGGTGTCCATTCAAAGGAATAGAGTGTAAATATTTGGCGATGAATAGATTCCTATTCACCTTCAGAGAAGATGGGGGGAAGGAAAGCTGTAACCAGTGGCCCCTGGATGTTTAATAAATCCTTGTTGGTTTTGGAAGATTTCAAACCAAGAAAAACTCTGGAGGAGTACTAATTCAAGTTATCTTGATTTGGATCAGAGCGATGGTATCCCGATGGGCATGACGGACAGGGAAAATGGAGAAGCCATCAGGAGGGAATAGTGAGGTCATAGATGTGGGCGTTGACGAGAATGAGATGGCAACTAGGGAATTCATGAGAATAAAGGTCAAATTGGATATTACTAAACCACTTATGAGAGGGATAACAATTATAACAGATGATGATGAGGAGGAAGTTGAACACAAAGAATTGCTAGAGGAGGCGGATGAATTGCAGAAGAACAAGAAGGAAAAGGAGCGTGTGGTGTCTTTTAAATATGAGTTCCTTCCTGACTTCTGCAATGCTTGTGGTGTGATTTGCCACCAAGACATGAATTGCACAAACCCATTGAAAGCAAGGAAAGGAGACTATGGGCCGTGGATGAAAGATGAGAATTTTAAGCGTAACTCTAGTGATGA